CAAAAACAGTCAATCAGAGCTCTGGATTTACCATGACGCTAGAGCGACATGAAGCCGGTTATCACCTGAGTGTCAAACGGTTTATGCATCTGATACATTTCACAGTACAAATAGTATTTACAAAATAATTTGAACTCCCGTACGAGTCAAGCGTTGGCCCAGTGTCATCATCGCTTGAGCATTTTCCATTCGGAATTTCCCACATGGCGCATCGCTCCACAACTGATTCTCTTGGGGTGATTCTCTACAAACAGTTAGGCTGCATCGGATACGGAACCTATATTCCTCCTGTGCCGGCCCGAAAATCACACGACCGATCGGGTCCATTTATCGATCGGTCGAATGGGACCTGGTGCTTGCCCAGCTAACCCGAGCGAGAAACCACACCTTTTTTACAGCTGTGAGTCTCAGGCAGGCCCAGTGAACTTCGACTGTGTAGCAGGTGTGCCATCAGCACTCGGATGGATTGGACGTAACAACAAGAGCATTAGAAACCGTACAAGCCGGTAATCAAACAGTCTCGTGTTGGGGTGAGGGATTTCAAGCGCCGCAGATCGCGGAATATGATCCAATCAGATCACAGAAAGGGTCAGAGGGAATTCACTTGTTTAAGGTCACGGGTGAGAGGACGAGACGATCGAAAACGATGGAGCAATCGCACTGTAGTTTGCTGCTTAATTAAAGGAGCACACCACCATCCCTCGTAGTTCGATCGCGTCTGCGCATCGTCATACCGGGTAAGTGCAATGGATGATTTGATTCAATTATAGCGTACATTTTTTCGTGTAGAGAACAAATGAAGCGCAAAATGAATATCTAGAAGGCAAAGTACAGTTGTTTCAATTGAAAGACAAATCCTACACTATTCTCATAAGCCAAATAGTCTGTTTCGCAGTGTTCCCAACCGATTCATGACTAAAGAAGCTCATTCCGGTATGAGTGATTTGTAAGGTACGCAACAAACCCGCAGAGGTACGTTGTGCTATAACACGTATCAGCAAAAACAGCAGTCTGATCAGCAGACTGGTGGTCAATTGGGTAGCGTCCTCTCGTTCCACCTGTGGAGTCTGGTGTTCAGTCGTCAGTTCGGTTGATGGATTCACGCTGCTTTTGGGTTACAACCGCTGTCCAGTGCTTCCTAGTTTTTTCAGTTCATGCAGTATTTTTGTTCACAAAACCTGTGCTTAGACAATTCTCTGATGTAAAATAGCTCTCAGCAATTCGTTCAACTTCCATAGGGATTCTTTAGTGTAAATTCGTTTATCTACATATTCTTCATCAATCGGTGAGAGATTTACAAATTCTAAGGAAACGTCATGTTTGTTATCCAATTGAACCATTCACTTAAGCAACAAACTTAGTGTTTGCGATGAATCCTCCGTTGCGCTTTATTTTATCGCGCAGTTATTAGGATATTCAGCACACTATACATTTGGAAAACATCAGATTCAATCTTGCTCGAAATGGAGATTCATGTTTGTTCAGGTGTAGTCTTTAGTGATAGCTAGTCAGTTCCTTGTTGGCCCGACATCAACGAAGGAATACGCAGTGAACCTGCACTACTGATGAGCTCTAACAAGGGTAAAACTCGATTCTAGTGCTTTCGTGTGTATGGTTGACTGCAAGAACTAAGGATTTTGTGTGAAAGTGAAATCTGAAGGATGGTCAAATCAAATCAATATACCAATTATCCCAAACCACTACTCACAGTTTACTGTGAGTTAAACGTGACTTATTTTGTTATAAAACAGTTGAGTGAAAAATGATAAACAATTCGTGAGAATATGGTTGTTGAAATCATAGTCGATGCATCTGATTTTGTCAGTGGATGACTTCCCAATCTTCGGATTTGGCACTTCTCTGCGAATTCGCTGGGTAACCCAAATGGGAGACGGTTGCAGCTGCTTGCTTAGACTAAAATAAGGCATAAGACAAAAAAGGATGATTTATAGACTTCGTAGCAAAGTTTCCGGCTCTTCTAGATTCTCAAATTATATTGATTTCCGGGGGAATCATGATAACTATTTGGGGTTATTATTGCAACGATCAGGTAAAAGCCTGAATTCGAAGCCATAACTTCTTATCCTGTAGTCGAAAAATAAATGACCGAAAGAAGTATATTCTTCTTTGCGGTTGAGTTTAGACGAGGCCAGATTGGTATAGAGTACCATTCTCCACGTTTTAAGCATTCTCGAAACGGCTGTTTTATATCTGCTCCTGGACAAGTAAAGAAGTTGGTCCAGGACAGACTCACATGATGGAAAGCTGACTTAATGAAGATGCTAACTTCAGTTACTTTGAAGTTCGCTTACCACCTCCAAAGCTGCGGAATCAAGTTACTCGCTGCAACGGCTGTTTGTAATAGATTTCTAATATTGAGATCTGCTTTATCAAGCAGAGTGCGTAAAACCGAAATAGAAAAACAATGAAATGAATCAAGGTTTATTGTGTTATGTAGTATTCGGTTATCATGGTAGAAGGAGAAAGGAGAATGAGCAGCACTCGGAAATCCTAAGAAACGGATAAACCCAAGTTCACAGGTTCGGCCCCTATTCGTAAATAACGTTTCAGAAATGAAAGCTCCTATTGGATTGAATGATTAAACTCGAAAGATCTGAACACTCAGTTGTGATTGATTCCTGATGAAGAACTCGTGAATTTCATGGTGAAAATAAGAACCACTACACCAATCCACAGAGCTAATCCTTACACTGTGCACGATTGCGCTGAAAACGAGCACTCACTTGACTCTGTGAAACGTTTTGAACGTGTCAGTGAACTTGATTTATTTCTGATTACGAATTCTGACCGGTCTTTGGTTCATTTACGCTAATTTTAGCTTAAACCAATAGTCATTATGGGCATGATAGCAGATTAATATTATGAAGTCACCGAAAAACACATGCAGCCCATGCATATCTGATTGACTCTGACCAGATATTATGCGATCCGCAATTGATGTTTGATTAAGCATTTTCCTTAGTAAAAAGTTATCCTGACAGTGTATTATTCAAACACATTCTAAAAAAATATATTTCGTTCCCCTTTTCGACCAGACATTTGGTCAAGTATTGATCTAGTCCGGACAACCCAAATGATCACACCGGTCTTTTGCACGTTGGTCAGTGTCCTGGTCAGCGGTTTTTCGAGGCGAATTGATCAAATCAGTCAAGACAAAAATCAATACCTTATTTGCAGTCAACTGTTTGGTTAGGAGGCGGTTAACCCGAACCTGTTTTTTGTTTGTCTTGTAGGGAGCTATATTTGGTTGTCGGTACACTTTTCACTTTCTTGTCATAAACGGTTATACCTTTGGACCATTAAGGAAGTAACAGAGCAAAATACCCCATTTCTTCTGATGAACACACTCACTTTCATTCTTTCAAACCCATAGATGTTATTCTGTTTGTCTTCTTCAGTCACAGATTGTCAGCATTTTGATTTGTTTGACGGGCAGGTTAAGTGAAATGTGTACAAGTGGCAGACCAAAAGACCTAAGGATTAATCGTACCACCTATTAGAACTTAAAATAGCACATCCTTATGGTGGACACAATTTTAATATAATCATACTTACATTCTTTACGACAGATGTCATATGCCCGTAAGAATACACGTTGAGCATTCACAAATAATGGTAGGTAATATCTTGGTCTAACCACCTCATTGTAAACGATTCGCAGCTCCGAAGATTCCAGTGTTTTATAGTTGTCACAATCGGCTTTTGTCACAACGACGGTGTCCGGTTCTTGGGCGTCCAGATTCAAAAGTTTGTCAAATAAATCATACAAAGTGAATTCAGCCGTGATATTACGAAGCTCATATTTGTCCTGTTCCTCGTTCTGTGTGAATAGAGAGGCACATTACGAACTGATGAAAATGGGTCTAGAAAGTTGAAGGACTTCAGTTCAACTTTTTCGGAATAAAACTGAAAAATTATTACCTTATTATCTATGAATTTAAGAGTTCTGGTAACTAACAATCCATATTTATGAACTGCATTCAGCAAAACAAGATACTATTTTGGTTTCAACTCAGGGTACTCAGTTTTACTCTGGCACAATCAATAAACCGGATTTCTCCATGTTTTCTTCGAAAATGCTTTCAGTCTTCAGATCTTCTTTCCAACTCTTCATTCAAATGAGCAGCTTGAACCAGCAACCAAGACCGCTGCCCGAAAGTGCATCGTCGAATATTTGGTAAACTAAAAACTGATTAGATCCAACATGAATAATGTCGAAAGCTATATGTCTTCTTGTCGTTTTCAGTAGTGTTATGGCAGAGAAAAATAAAAACCTTTTTCTCTATCAATAGCCAGTAGCATCAGAAAATGCATTGGCTAGTCATACCTGATACACCTGTCCTTGAGTGAGCACAACTTCCATACTAAATTGCATTTATCCTGAATGATAGTTAACACTAATACTTGTTAGATTTCCAGAAATATTTTACGGAACAATTATAGAAAATACTCATACAAAATGCGACTCAGACTTTTATGCGATCTGATTAAATTGATAGTTTGCTCTTAGAAAGATTTTTTACACATGTCATGCTTTGCAAATGATGAGATCGTCGAGTGAGATGAAATCAACAACGGTGCTTTTTCATTTCTTCGCGTACACTTGAAACCGATGTTTTTATTAATCATAATATACGCCTCACTTGGTAGCCACAATCGTATTGGAACGGTCATTGAAGTATCATGCAATCAATCTGATAGATAAAACCGTATCAATATGTTCCTGGTTTGATTTATTTATTGGATTTTAAGTCGAAGGTTTACGCACTCATGATTTTTGAGACCATCCAATGCTGTAACAATTGATATTTGTCTATCCGATGCATTTGGTTTGACCCCGCGGGAGATTGCATCATANGCTCTCCATTGTCCATGTGATGGATCCAGAACTTTCACATTTTGTTAATTGATATATCAACATCAACAATCTTTCTTTTTTCTCAATTTTGGCGTTCATATACTCAAAATAAACATATGTATTGCACAAAAACACGATGTGCAATAAAGCGATGAAGCCTACAATCAACCTACTGTAAAGTGGAAATACATAGCATCTATCTAAAAACAGCATATTGATTATAAACTTGAATATCGAAAGGTTATAAGGAATAAGTAAAATAGAACGTGGCAAATCGTTCCATAATTCTGTGGCTATGGAAACTGAAGTTGAGTACGTCCCGCGGGGCCTTTGAATTCGACCGTACCATTTACATCGAAAATCATATTTGCACCTTCTTGTGGTTTTATTCATCCTTAATCGTATCGCTATCAATTTCAAGGACACCAAATGCTATTCTACACAAGCCCGTTTCCGAAATCTTTATGTGCAATGGTGCGAAACGCACCTTTTGTGAATTATGCATGCCAAAGTGATAAATAATTTCAAGCGGGATCTCAGAACACAAAGCGGAACAGAAAGAAAAAATCGCGCAAGTTATCAAGTCGGTATCAGATAGTGCGGCACCATTAAGATGCAAATTCCTCTCATTTTAAAGAGCAAAGTTCGTTCTCTGTTGGGAAACGTCGACGATGTAGCAGACACTGCAGGACAAGGGAGTACAAAATCCTTGGGATTATTATGCTACAAACGTCTTGGTTGCACGAGGGAATTCCCAGTGAAATTGTGCAGTTTGATGGATGACATTTTCATCGGATTGAACGTCTCACGATTGTCCGTAAATGAGACGAGGTGTTGCAAGTTATGTTAATAACTGGAGTGAATCAACCGCCGTCATCTACGAATACTCAACGGATAACATCAGTGGCCACGTTACGGAATGCAAGCCTCGTTTTCTTAGTGGGTTTTGTTCCACACCTCTTGGAAACATTTACCTGACACACAATATCACACAATATCAACATCTGACATCAATAGGTTTTCTGATATTTTTTCTACCTCCATCACAATACGAACTGGAGGCTCTTTGTGTATATTTGTTGATGATTTTAAAAGACGTTATATAGCTTTCTTTACCACACTGGGTCTACCAAATTTGTTGCATTTTCCTACCAAACTTGATGCACAACTAGAATTCGTTTTTACAAGTAGACCGCAAGTTTTCAAAGTATAGAAACGCACTCCTCTGAGTAACTTTTTAGTGTGTTCAACTGTATACAGCAAGACTAATAGATACACATTTTTAAGAAGACTATCTAAGATAATGAATCAAAGGAATTGTTCATCGGATAACCTAAAAAGGCTAAGGTCCCTTATTGATGCCAAGGATTTTTCGGTGTTTCCATATCAGAACCCTTCTTTCCAATGTGAACATATTACTGACTACCTTAGTTTTTGCTTTATTCGATTTTGCCCATTTGAAACGGTCTCCATTCATAAAGATAGATATTCATCACCGCTATTAAAACAGCCATACAGGCGGAAAGAACTGGCCTATAAGCATTGACTGAAAACCCATGTCAGGCGGTTTACAAGTTTGATCAAACCTAAAATAAATAGTTCAAATAAATTGTACATGGACACCATTTGGGGAAACTTCAGTTGTTGTGTTATGTGGTGAGTTATCAAACGCTTGTGTGACAGTATCAGTAAACACAAAAGGGAAACTGTGGATGTTGAAATACTGAATTCTGGCTCCACAGCCCTGCCAGAGGTTTTCTGCTCTACGCCATCATGAACTATCAAGTCCGCCACGGTCCTCTGTCAGCTACGGAAAACGAGGTTAATAAAGCATCCGGTCCGGATGAACTATCCCCTGTGGTACTCGAGATACGTACGGACACTTTCAGTCCCACTATGTGACATATTCAATGACCGTCTGATAAGTGGAAAGATACCTGCCCAAGATAACTCCCTATTCCCAAAAACGGAACTTTTAAGGACTCGACATGTAGAAAAGCAGCAGATTTTTTAAACAATATTGCATCTGTAGTGGCCCACTGTTTATACCTGTTCAGTTCAATCAAACCCAAAGTTATCCATCTTGGGCAGCCCTCAAATTTTCGTCCGACCATATATCAATCGACATTGGTCTTTAAGATCGGTAACTGAAGGAGATCAAACAATAACCGGAGCGCTGATCCGCACGTTTCACGATGTGCGACAGAGATAGCCACAAAAATGAAGTTTCAAATCACGTAAATTTAAACGTGCATGGAAAAAAGACCTGAGATGCGCTTTCAAGTTCGGTTGTTTCTTTTAACAATTTTAAGATCAAATGTTTATGATTTTATGAGACAGAGGTGCACAAAAACAGTTACAGAGGTACATGAAATTCGAGGAAGCATTAGGTAACAAAACCGAGATGTGATACTTTCTTTGATTAGAAAACCAGTAAAACCATGACCAAAAATGTTTTCTACAACAACAGTAGATGATGATTGTATCGTTCTGGTACCTTTTGGCCTTGCAGCAGGTTAGGATGAGCTGGCAGTGCATATCCATGCGCTCAGGTTGTAACATCCAGTGTATTTTCTCAAACTACCATTAGCCATTTTTGTTGAAGCCTACTTTATGCTCTTTGTCTTTCATATTTTACCGACAACGTCCACTCCGGATTTGCGTTTTGCTCTAGAACGGATTTTTGAGAGCTTCCTACTGGTTATCTGTTTGGCATGATAGAAGGTTACATCACACTTTTATACGGTTACCAAACTGCGATATTCATTATCGTTTGGTCCCGTATTTTATTCTCATTGTCACTATATCAACGAAAAAGGTTATATTCATGCGAAAACCCAGTAGCAGCATTCAATGCCCTCCTGTCGTTCACAGCGACGATTTGATTGTTCTAGTGCGAATACAATTCTGAAAACAGTAAGATCACGGTGAAGACCACATCAACGGAAACATTTAGATCGAGAGGTAATATATGGATAGTGTCCAGGGGATAAAGTTTGACTACTGAATAAGGGTCTTTATTT